TGAAATGGAACCTGTACTTTTAGTCTTTGAGGTATCTCTGCAATTGTTGATACAATAGTTGTACATTCCTGCCAATAGTGGAGAATGATTCCTTTTCTTTCATGGCCCCTTCAACATTTGTTTTGATTGATTCCTTGATAACAGCCATTATTTCTAGAGTGAAATGAAATATCAGTGTTGTTTTACTTTGCAACCCTTGAATGATCAGTAATGTTGTACATTTTTTCATATATTTATAAATCTTTTATTCATATATTTATAAATCTTCATCTGAGAAGTATCTATTCACTACCGATGCACATTTTTTGATGAGTATTTAGATTTATGGAGTCTGACCTTTTTAATATTTTACATATCAGTATGTTGGTGGAGACAACATACAACATACAACAACATTGTTACAGCTGACAAAATTTTTTCCCAGTCTATGACTTGCTTGTTCACTCTGTTGCAGGTTGTTTTTGATGTACAAAAATTTTTTTAAATAAAATAAAGCTCCCAATTTTTGATTCTGTAACATTTCTTGTGTGATCAAGGGCTTGTTCAATAAGTCTTTCCTTACACCTATGTCTTCAAGAATTCTTCCTGTTCTGACTTCCAAGGGATTTAGTGTTTCTCTTTTAATGTTTAAATCTTTGATCCATTTCAATTTTAGTTCAGTGTGTGATGAAAGACAGGGATCTAGGCTTAATGTTCTGCATATGTGTCATAGATCATATCAGTGACCCCCAAGCCTCATGTAATCATGGGCTCTACCAGATCTAGCGTTTGTGATTGGTTCATTGTCTAGCACTTGGATTGGTGGTGTGAGTGCTACACCCATGTAGGGATGGAGCCAGATTATAATGTAACAGCAGGAAGAAGATCTACCTATTTATCTATCTATCTATCTATCTGTCTGTCTATCTATCTATCTCGTGAGTTTGCTGTTTACAGAATCCATGAAGGGCTGCCTGGCAACACCATACTGCCTTGGAGCCAACTGAGTATGGTCTGAAACCTCCAAGAACTGTAAGAAATAAACCTTTTCTTCCCTAACTTTGGGCACCAGGTATTTTTGTCTCAGCCATCAGTGAATAGTAACTAAGACAATATGGAAATCCAGTTTTTCCAGTATGACGTATTAAAGAAGCTATCTTTCTTTTAATTAGAGTGTTTGCTCACTTGGTTGAAAATGACTTGAAATTATACTACAAAACTATTGAAATAGCTTTGACAATAGACCACTTATGTGCAGTGAAAAAAAGACAGCCTCTTGTTTTATTTTTAAAGAGATTAAAACAAAACAAAATGGAACAGAACAAAGCAGATCAGAATAAAACAATGCAGTTAACACAGGATTTGAAAGCAAAACAACAGAAAATCAACAATGATTACCATAATGTCTCTCATTTCTCTGAAATAGTTATCCATTTTTTCACACACAATGAATTCAACCAAGACAAAAGCAGTATAAAACCATTCAAAACAAAAGATGAATGCATTACAGGCCTTTAGGACCAGGCAATAGGAAAATCAATGATGGCTACCATAATGTCTCTTGTTCTCTTCTAAATAGCTGTCCATACCTTCTCATAATACAAAATGCAAATAATACAAAAATAAATAGTACAAAAACAAACTAAAGCCAACAAAACAAAGAAAAAAAGAATTACCAGACTTCGCAACAAGATGATAGAAAATGGGGAATGGCTACCATAATGTCTCAATTTCTTTAAAGTAGCTGTTCATACCATCATACACAATAAAATCAGTTCTTGTAAACACTTTAGGACAGATTCTAAGCATGTATAAGCCCATGAATGTACATTTATCCTTTCTGTATTAGACATAAAAACAACAAAACTGATAAGATTATATAGTGTGTCCAAAAGATGAGAAGTATAAAACAAAAGAGGCTTTTATTCTGAGACCACAGAGAGAGAAAACAAAAACCCCCCAACCACTGGAGTTTGGCTTTCTCTCTGGTGGACATGTGGCATGGGGGCATATATGTAACCTAGGTTTGGGATAGAACCTAAGGGGGCATTAGGGATGCACAAGTTTCCCATTGGTCTTTGTTTGGTGCCATAGGTAAATTCCTAGGGGCAGGGAAGATGGAGTCACAGGTAAATTCCTAGGGGTGGGTGAGATAGGAGGTCCTCGGTTCTGACTCTAAAGCTTCACCGACTACAGTGTCCTGTCTGGGCCCAAACTCTTTCATATCCCATCTTATGATTATTATTATGAAAAGGGGCAAAGATTCCTTTCTTTAACTGCTTTCTGCTGTAAATGGGGCACTGTACTGGGGTCTAGGGGAGTTGACGGTATGATAGTTGATGCCCAGGTAGAAGCTGGTGCCAGGTGTTTTAGCCAGGACAACTTCACTGTTGAATGCACATATGTTAGACTGGAAAAACAAAGAGACAAGATGTTATGAGGAGGCATGGCACTGTCATGTTTAAGGACCCAGGTGAGGTAGAAGGAAAGGTGTCTTTGATTTTGACATGTCATTATATCAGGACCATGTTGAGGTAGAAACATTTGCATGGTAAGGCAGAATTCTGAAAAATAAATGTGGGGTTACGAGGAGTGAAGTTATGAGAGGTGATTACTCCCCCATCTGAAACGGTAAAAGTTAAAAGGGTAGGTGGGTAAAACTTGTCTCTGGTCCAGGAGTTGAACTGGAAAAAATAGGGGGAGCAGGGAAGGCAGTGGCTGTACCAGTACAGGGAAGGTAAAGGCCTAGGCTTTCAGGGATGTCACGTTTAACCAAACAGCTGAGGGTAGATAGAGCTAAGACAGTTGTCACGTAGAACATTATGAAGATGATCTTACACATGATGTGGGAGTCTTTAGGAAAGACTGTCAAGAGTCCTGCTGTAAAATGATCATTAATAGAGCATAAGAAATTAGGAACCAAAGTGGATAACAAAGCATAACTTAGCTTGTTAACTGTGGCTGCGAGGCCTTTGTGAAATGGAGATGGGTGGGCGACAGAAGATGAGATGACTGCTCAGAATGATCAGATTTAGGGCTAGGAGGGCACTGCTTAGCCTGAGTGATGTGAAACCAGGATGGGAGTCCAGCAACTTTGACTGCTGTAGCGGTCATCAAGTAGACCAAAGAGGGGTCACTCCACCTTGGTTGTAGTCCTGTGGATTTAGAACATTTCAGATAAATTAGATCTCCTGGGGATATGGGAGGACCTGGTTTGGCCTCTCCAGAGGGTTGTGGAAGGCAGAGATCAGCATGTTGTCACAACAAGTGTCAGAGGAAGGAGAGCACTGGGACATAGTCAGCAAGGGGAGGGAGATTTTGGGGAGTAGGAAGATTGTGGAGTAAGAATGGCCTGCCGTACATAAGTTCAAAAGGACTTAAGAAGGTAGGAGCCCCGGGGAGTGCCCTGAGCTTGGCTAAGGCTAAGGGCAAAAGTTGAGGCCAATGTTGGTGTAGTTCTAAAGTGAGTTTTGTAAGGTGTGTCTTTATGAGGCCATTTGCCTTTTCTACTTTTCCTGAAGCTTGTGGATGGTATAGGATGTGTAGGTGCCAAGTGATGTGTAAGCTTGAGGATACCTGTTGAGTGATCTGGGAAATAAAGGAGGGGCCATTATCTGACTGAATACTCTGAGGTAGACAAAACCTGGGAATGAGTTCTTGTAATATGACTTTGGTAATTACATCAGCAGTTTCCCTGGTTGTAGGAAAGGCTTCTATCTATCCTGAAAAGGTATGAACAAAGGTGAGAGGATATTTGAGAGTTTTGTGGCAGGGCATGTGTGTAAAATCTATCTGCCAGTCCTGACGAGGGGTGTGTCCTCGAAACTGATGGGTAGAAAAGGAAGGGGCTGCCATACGTCCCTGAAGAGAGGTCCCAGCACAGAGATAACAGGTGTGAGTAATCTTCAGAATGATAGCTTTTAGAGAAGGGTGTGTGACTATTGGGGCTGTAAGAGTTTGTACAGGGCCTGTGATCCTATATGAAAACAGTTGTGTAAGTCAGTGATGATTTCTAAGGCCTGTTGATATGGGAGAACAAGTTTAGATCCCTGAAAAATCCATCCCTGAGTGTTTTGTGTGTAACCTGGTTTATGAAGTAGCTGTAACTGCTCTGGTGAATAATTGGGCTGAGGTGGACTGTTTGGGACTAACGGGAGAAGATGAGAAGGGCAGTGCCCTTGTGCAGCTAACTTGGCTTGTCAATCTGCAAAGGCATTGCCTTGAGCAATAGGATCTGCAAGTTTTGGTGTCCTTTACAAGGAATAACTGCTGCCTGCTTTGGAAGTTGGGCTGCCTCTAGAAGTGTAAGGATAAGGGGAGCACATTAATGATGGGGTTCCCTGAGTGGTAATAAAACCCTGTTCTTGCCAGATAGAGCCATGAAAGTGTAAAATGCTAAATATATACTTTGAGTCAGTGTATATATTTATAATTTTGTCCTTTGCTAGTGTAAGAGCCCTTGTAAGGGCAATAAGTTCTGCCCTCTGTGACGAGGTGCCAGGTGGCAATGGATTTGCCTCTGTAACTTTTGACTAGTTAATTATTGCATATCCTGCCTTATTTTGGTTGTCTGTGTTTGTTGAACTGCCATCTATGAACCATGTGTCAAAGGCTAAAGAGAGAGGTGTGCTACTGATGTGAGAGAAAGGGGTGGGAGTCATCTGTAAGAACTCAATACAGTCATGGTGAGGATGGCCCTCTGAGGTGGGAAGTAAGGTTGCCACATTAAGAGGACCATTAGTTGCAATAGAGATGCAAGGGTCTTGAGAGAGAGCCAGGTATACCTGTTAAATGTGAGAAGGGGTCATCAGAGCAGAGAGCACCTTATGTGAGATAAGCTCACATAGGTGATGAGGGGAGTGTACTGTAATAGATTGCCCTAATGTAAGCTTATTAGCTTCCTGTGTCAGGAGGGCTGCAGCTGCAAGGGCTCAGAGACAAGGACCCCATCCTTTTACTGTGTTCTAACTGTTTTGACAAGTAAGCTACTGCTTGAAAAGAAGGTCCTTTTTTGTGTCCTAGTACACCTATAGCATTGTGGCCCTGAGAAGTAGTGTACAGGGGGAAAGGTTGGGTGGGATCAGGAAGGGTAAGAGCTGGGGCTTTTAGGAGAGCCTCTTTTAATTTATGAAAGGAGGCATGTATGGGCCTAGTAGGATCCAGGGGTTCTGATAAGGGACACTTAGCAGCCTTGTAGAGGGGAAGAGCTAGGGCTGCAAAGTTAGGAATCCAGAGAAGAAAGAAATTAGCTAAACCTAATAAAGATGTAACCTGTTGTTTAGTTGTGAGCACCTGGAGATCTCAAAGAATGGCCTTACAATCTGTAGTGATGGAACGAGTGGTGGGGGTGAGAGCAAGACCTAGGTATTTGACTTTTGGGGAGGCTATCTGGGCTTTAGCAGGAGAGACCCTGTATCCACGACTAGCAAGGAAATTAAGAAGATTGGCTGAATGGTGTATGGCTAACATGTGGGATGGGGACCATAACAGAAGGTCATCTATGTATTGAAGAAGGACACTAGGTTTGAGATCAAATTCTGTGAGGTCAGTAGTGAGAGCTTGACTAAAGAAGTGGGGACTATCTCTGAACCCTTGGGAGAGCACTGTCCAAGTAAGTTGTTGAGACCTGAGAGTGTCTGGGTCAATCTGTGTAAATGCAAAGAGGTTCTGACAATCAGGTGTGGGGGGATAGTAAAGAAGGCATCTTTAAGATCTATAACTATAAAGTGAGTGGTGGAGGGAGGGATATGAGAGAGCATGGTACAGGCATTTGGCACCACTGGGTGGGTTGGGGTAACAGCACTGTTGATTACCCTAAGGTCTTGTACCAGGTGATAGGACCCATCAGGCTTGAGTACCGGGAGAATGGGAGTATTGTGGGGTGAATGAGTAGGTTTAAGAAAACCATTGTCCAAAAGGTGCTTAATTATGGGTTTAAGTCCCTGTAAATGTTGGGGAGCCATGGGGTATTGGGGAACGTAGGGAAAAATTGAAGGATCCCTGAGATGGGTTTAAATGGGTGTAGCATGGGTAGCAAGAGTGGGATTGGAGGTGTCCCAAATTATGGGGTCAACCAGAGAAGGAGGAAGGGGAGGGAATAGCTTTGCAATGCATTGTGAGGCTGTTTGGAGGATTAGGGCTGTGGGGAGGGAGAAAGTAAAGGAGAAGTTCAGCTTTTGAAGGAGGTCTCTACCTAAAAGGAGTGTGGGACATTTTGGGATTACTAGGAAGCTATGGGTAAAGAAAAGAATCTGGAACCTACATGGGACAGGCCTATTTGCAAAGGCTGGGTAGGCTGGCTGTCAATGCCCACAACAGAAATTGAGGACTTACTACAAGGTCCTGAAAACTCAGGAAGAACACTATAAGTCACCCCTGTGTCTACAAGTGCAGATAGTGTCTTACCTGAGACCTCCAGTGAGACTCGGGGCTCCAACAATGTTACCGGAGTAGGGGCTGTGAGCCCTGAGCCCTGTCAGTCTTTGGCAGCAAGTCCGAGCAGATGAGTCAGCGATGAATCTGGCATTGATGGAGTCTCCTGTGAGGGCAAGGAGTTAGAGGATGGCTTACCTGCTCTCTGGCAGCTAGGACAGTCACTCTTCCAATGGCCTTTAACATTGCAGTAGGAACACAGCCCTAAAGGAATGCCAGGGTTGGGACAATCTTTTGCCCAGTGTCCTTGTTTGCTGCATTTAAGGCACAGTTTGGGCAGGGCTCGGACAGCTACACCTTGTTTCAGATTTCTTGTCTTGGGAGCCCCAAGTGCCACTGCTAAGAGATCAGACTGATATTTAGCAAACTTTATGTTTTGAGCTTGTTTTTCCTCTTTTTGAATTTTATCTCTGTTGTTGAAGACACGGAAAGCTAATTTAAGAAGATCTCCCTGTGGAGTTTGAGGGCCATGTTCAACCTTTTGTAATTTTGCACGAATATCAGGAGCAGACTGGGAAATAAAATAAGAGTTAACAACAATTATCCCTTCATGAGAGTCTGGGTTTACATTAGTAAACTTAATTAAGGTTTCCTGAAGCTAATTTAGGAACACAGCTGGGTTTTTATTAGCCTCCTGGACCTGTTCTAAAAGTTTGTTATAGTTAGTATGTTTGTGGGCAATCTTATTAAGGCCCACAATTAGACATTCAATCATCTTATGTAACATAGTTGAACATTTTCCATTTTGATAGTTCCAGTTAGGATCCTTCCTGTACTGTGGTATGCCCAGGTTCATTATCAGTGGTGTTTGCCTTATGTCTGCGATCAGCTTCTTCTTGAGCTGCCTGCCACAGCTGAGTTCGCTCTTGTGAGGTGAGGGTGGTATTTAGAATCACATAAACATCCTTAAAATGTAAATCATAACAATTAGTTATAAATTCAAATTCCCTGATATCATTCTGTGGGTCAACAGAGAAGCTACCTAATTTATGGGTAATCTGAGATAAGTCAGAAAGGGAGAAAGGCACATGTATATTAACAAGTCCCTTGGGGCCAGCTTGCTCCCGAAGTGGTAGCAGAAATTGAGGAGAAGATTGTGCAGTAGATGGCCATTGGGCAGCCAACCATCCAGTAGGCATGTGTAAGCAATTATCTGTAGATCAGCTATAAAGTGGCTGCAGGTTAACATGGGATGAGGAAACACAGGCTGTTGGTGTCTCACTATGTGCCTTGCAGCAATTTAGTTGCTGTTTGCAGCACAGTAAATTGTCATGCGGTCTGCAACAGGGTGGCTGTTGCTGATCACAAGAGGAGCCACAAGGGGGTGGCCATTAACTGTGAGATCCATCCCAAGATAGCGGTGCCCTTTCACGTGGTGGAGGGCCACAGCATGGTGACCATCCCCAACGTGAGCTGCAGCAGTCACGTGGCCTGCAGGAAGGATATAGCGACCTAGACCTAGTATGGTGGGCAGGAGGTGAAGAATTCTCAGGTGAGTGAGAGGTCTGAGACTGCAAAGAAGTGCTAACAGAGGGATTAGAGCTGTGGGAGAATTAGGGGTCCCGGGAGACAGAGGGGAAGATGATCGCACAGCTGGAGATAACTTCGAGGGTTGATTTTGGGGATAGGGAGGAGGTGACGGATAAAAGACCAGGGGTACTTCCTCCAGCAGATCATGAGAGCCAGAGGGGAGAGTTTGTAGCACAGCAGAGTTAGCTAAAAATACCTGAGAGGGTGTACAGGATTTAATGAGAGATGGGCGCATTCTCAGAGTGAGGAAAGCCTGTATGTAAGGGATTTCTGTTAACTTGTTACCAGTTTGACAAAAATCATATAAATTTTTGAGAATACAGGGGTCAAATGTCCCCTCTTTGGGCCATGCACTGCCGTTAAGTGGGTAGGTTGGCCAAGCCTCCTGGCAGTAAAAGATTGTTTAGTTTTTATGGTTCTTTTAATTTTAAGAGTACTCAGATTGGAAATCAAGCATTGCAATGGCATCTTTTGGGAAGTAGAAAAAATGTTTCCCATGGCAAAATCTCAGACGAGAAATGGGCCATGTCAGAGGTGGGGCCGTCACCTGTCCTTTGGGAAAAACAGCGGTTAGTGTTCCAAATCTCATGTTTCTCAGTTGTCACTGAGTGATCCAAGAGTGGATTTCTCGTGGGTTTTAGTAACAGCTCTGCCTGTGAGAGCTTAAAGCTCTGAAGGACATGAGAGTCTCTCAGTGTGAAACTAGAGTTTCCAGAGACACTCTGCCTTGGGCTATCTTAAGGACATGAGTGTCACATGAACCCACGGAAAGGGGGAGAAAACCCACCTGGGGCTGAGCCCAGTGCCAAAGAATTCTCCAGAGTTTGCTCACCTGTGATAAATTGGGCCAGTGTTGTGTGCAAGCGGTTGGTGACAAATCAACCAGGTCTTGTGAGTTAAAAAGGGAAGAATTAATGCAGGATGTAATCCAGTTCACGAATCAGTAGGGAATCCAACTGGGTGGTCCCCAAGAGTCAATTGTCTGCCAATTGAGTCATGGCACCAAATGATAAGATTATATAGTGCGTCCAAAAGATGAGAAGTATAAAACAAAAGAGGCCTTTATTCTGAGAACACAGAGAGAGAAAACAAAAACCCCCTGACCACTGGAGTTTGGCTTTCTCTCTGGTGGACATGTGGTGTGGGGGCATATAAGTAACCTAGGTTTGGGGTGGAACCTAAGGGGGCATTAGGGATGCACAAGTAGCCCATTGGTCTTTGTTTGGTGCCATAGGCAAATTCCTAGGGGTGGGGAGGATGGAGTCATAGGTAAATTCCTAGGGGTGGGTGAGATAGGAGCTCCTTGGTTCTGCCTCTAAGGCTTCACTGGCTACAGTGTCCTGTCTGGGCCAAAACTCTTTCAAAAACAAACGAATTACAAGAAAAACAAGAAACAGAAGAGAAAAATGAATAGCAAAAACAAAGAGCATAAAACAATGACAATATAGGATCTCAAAACAAGGTGGTGGAAATATAACTAAGGTTATTATTTTGCATAGTTACTTGCAAAAGAGTTACTCAGATTTCCAGATATAAACATGCAAAATTGATCCAGTCCTATGAATGTTAACTGTTCTTTTCTAAGAACTAATATAATTAGTAGCACAATAATCTTAGCTATGTCATGTGTATGTACAAATTTATTTCTTTTTTTTTCTTTTCCCTTCATTCTTTTCTACTTTTCCATACTTTTTCCTTTGAGAAGTTTCTTACACTTTCACAATGTTTATTGAAAATTTGTATCTTATTTACTCTTTAATTTTTTTACAGTAGAGAGATAATATGGTATTTACACATTGTGAATTTAATTTATTTTACTTATGAGTGTGGTCTCAATTTGCATCCATTTATCTATAAAAGATTCAGTGTGATCCTTCTTTATAGCTGAGTAGTTTTCCATTCTAGAAAAATACCACATTTTTTTTATTGATTCCTCCTGTGATGGACATCTAGGTTGTTTCCAAGATTTGGCTATTACAAACTATGCTGCTATAAGTATGGGTGCACATATATCACTGTAGTATGATGTTTTAAATTCTTGGAATATGCCCAGAAGTAAAGTATCTGAGTCAAATAGGACTTCCAATATCAAATTTTTGAGGAGCCTGTAAACTGACCTCCACAGTGTTAAGACCAGTTTATAATTCATGAAGAGTGAAATACTCCTTTCCCCCACAGCCTCTCCAGCATTTGTTATTGGTCATTTTCTTGATCCTGGCCATTGTTTCGAAAGAGAGATGGAATCTCAGTGTAGTTTTAGTTTGCATTTATCTAATGGCCAAAGAAGCTGACATGTTTTCCTGTATTTATTTGCCATTTGTGTTTCTTTCCCTGAAAAGCATGTATGGGATTTGTTTTTCAATTTTGGGTGTCTGATTCTTTTTTAAATTCTTTATGTGTTCTAGACAGAACTCTTTTATCATAGGGACAATTGACTAAGATTTTTCCCATTTGAGGGATTTTCTTTTTACTCTCCTGGAGATTTCTTTTGACATGCAAAAACTTCTTAATCAAAGGAGATCCCAGTTACTGGGAAATATTTCCCATGCAGTTTAATTTTTCTTCATAAATTGTCTGCCTACCCCTATGTCCTCAAGATTTCTACCTACTTTGTGTTCCAGCAGATTAAGTATTTTTGTTTTAATATTCAGATCTTTGATCCATTTTGACTTTAGTGCATGGTGATAAACATGTGTCTAGCTTGAGTTTTCAGTATATGGAAAGCCAGTTTTTCCAGAACAACTTATTAAACAGGCTATCTTTCTTCCTGGGTACATGTTTGAACACCTTGTCAAAGATAAAATGACTGAGTATGTTTGTAGCTGTGCTTCCATCTTCTAATATATTCCAATGATCTTCAGATCTTTGTTTTTCTAGTACAATACTTATTTTATAATCGTAGTTTTGTAGTATCACTTCAAATTGGCATTATGATTACTCCTGCCTTACCTTTGTTGCCTACCTTTGCTTTTGCTATTCTAGCTCTCTCCTGGTTCCAAATGAATTTTAGGAATTATTTTTCTAGATCTGTGAGGTATGCTAATCGTGTTTTGATTGGAGTTGCATTATATAAAGAATGTCTTTTCATTTTATGAGACCCTCTTCAATTACTTTTTTCAGAATATTGTAATTTCACTGAATAGATCTTTTACTTCCTTATTCAGATTGATTCCTAACGTTTAATTCTTTTTGATGCTATTGTGAAGGATGTGACTTTTTTATTTCTCTCTCAGTAAGTTTTTGTTTGTGTACAAGAAATCTACTGATTTTGTGTGTGGACTTTGTATCTAGATAACATTACTGAATTTGGTTATTATACCTAGACGTCTTTAAATGAGTTTTGGCAGACTTCTATCTAGAGTATCATGTTATCTGAAAATAATGATATTTTAACTTCTTCTTTTCCTGTCCTTATTCCTTTGAATTGCCTTTCTTGTCTAATTGTTTTGGCTAATATTTCCAGCACTCTATTGAATAGAAGTGGTGATAATGGTCATCTTTAACCTGTTCCTGATTTTAGAGTGAAAGTTTTCAGTTTTTGACCATTTGATATGATACTGGCTGTTGGTTTGTCATAGATAACTTTTATCAGATTGAGATAAAAACCACCTATTCCAATTTTCTATAGGGTTCTTATCATGAATGAGTGTTGGATCTTATCAAAAGATTTTTCTGCATCTATTGAAATGATCATGTGATTTTTTTGAAGATAGTAAAATACAACAGAAGACAGAACAAAGCTAATTGAGACAATGCAGTGAAATTGGTACAGAACTTCATAGCAGGATACCAGGATAACAGTAATAAGTACATAGTATATCTTATCATCTTCACAATAGTTGTCCATGTAATACACAATGTCTGTAGAGCCAAAGATAAGAATCACATGATCAAGCAGTGGGCAAGCCAGAAAGAGTGCCAGTCAGCGTCTGCCTAGATCTGGCCATGGTGGAACTTAGGGATCTGAGCAATAAAGCAACTTTATTTTTAAAAAAAGGAAAGAAAAAGCTCAAATTCATGCAATAAGGAATGAAAAAGGTGAAATAACTATAGTCTCTGTGGAAATACAGAAGTTCATCAACACATATTTCAAAAACTTCTACTCATAGATTCTATAAAGCAGAAAAATGGACAGATTCTTAGAAACATATGAAGTACCAAAGCTGGATCAAGAAGGTGTAAAACTGCTGAATAACCCAACTTCTATTAATGAAATTGAAAATGTAGTTAAGTCCTTACCTACAAAGAAGAGCCCAGGTCCAGACAGATTCACTGTGGAATTGTACAAAAATAAAAAGAAGACTTAATGACAACACTCCTCAAACTCTTCAATGAAATTGAAATGGAAGCAATTCTTCCTAAGTCATTCCTGAAAGCAAATATTACTCTAGCATCAAAACCTGAGGAAAACCCAACTAAAAATGAAAACTACAGGCCAATCTCCCTTATGAACACAGATGCAAAAATCCTCAATAAAATATTGGCAAACAGGATGCAGACAATCATCAAGAAGTTTATACACCATAACCAATTGGGATTCATCCCAGGCATGCAGGAATGTTTCAACATATGTAAGTCAATAAATGTAACAGAGCATATCAATAAAGCCAAAATTAAGAATTACATGATGATTGCTATAGATGTAGAAAAAGCTTTTGATAAGGTCCAACACTCATTCATGATAAGAACCTTACAGAAAATTGGAATAAATGGTCTTTACCTCCATATGATAAAAGGCCATCTATGGAAAACCAACAGCCAGCATCATATTAAATGGCCAAAAACTGAAGGCCTTTACCTTAAAATCAGGCACAAGACAATGATGTCCCTTATCACTGCTGCTATTTAATATATACTGGAAATACTAGACAGAGCAATTAGACAAGACAGAAATAAAAGGGGTAAAGATAGGAAAACAGGAAGTTTAATATCATTATTTGCTGATGACATGATACTCTACATAGTAGACCCCCAAAATGCCATTGAAAGACTCCTAGATATAATAAAATAAATTCAGCAATGTATCTGGATTCAAAATCCATACTCCACAATCAATAGCATTTCTATTAATTAACAACAAAATCACCGAGAGAGAAATGAGAAGCCACACCCTTCACACTAGCATCCCAAAAAATGAAATACTTAGGAATTAATCTCATGAAAGAAGTAAAAAAAAATCTATACAGGGAAAATTATAATACCCTGAAAAAGAATAAAATCAAAGAGGATCTCAGAAAATAGAAAGACATATCTTGCTCATGGATAGGAAGAATAAATATTCTGAAAATGGCCATTCTCCCAAAACTGTTATAAATATTCAATACAATTCCAATGAAAATACCATCAACATACCTCATAGATCTAGAGAAATGACTCCTAAAATTCATCTGGAACCAGAAGAGACCTAGAAAATGGAAAGATATCCCTTTTCATTGATAGGAAATGAAATAAGTCATCAAAAAGACCATGTATCATAATGATTTTTTCAGGGTTACAGGAATGATTCAACATATGCAAATCAATCAATGTAATAGACCAACAGGAGCATAGACAATCATGGTCATCTGAATAGATGCAGAAATAGCATTTCAAAAATTGCAACATCAATTCATTATAAAAACAATAAAACATGAATAGACGGTCTCTATTTTATCCCATTAAAACTTTATCCCATTAAAACAAACAGCCAACAACATAGAAAATGAAGAAATGTTAAAGACTTTCTCTTTAAAATCAAGAAAAAGACTGCCTGGGTAATCCCTTCAGCTCAGTTTCATTAGCTGAAGGAATGCACAGCGAACCCCATCCAGTTGTGCAATCTTAGCATCTTACTTGGAAATTAGTGAGACCCTGCTCAGCATCCCCAAAAAACCAAAGATGTTCGGATAGATTCCTTGGGGCCAGGTTGGACCCTGCTCAGTGATCATGAGTGACCTGGGAATCACCTGAGCTCAGTGGCATGAGCCAAAATTGCACAGAACAAACACCAGCTAACCCTGCAGACTCAGCACCTTGCTTTGAACCAGGTAGGACCCTGACCAGCATCCCCAGTCAGCAGTAGACCATTGGGTAGATCCCTTACTGTCTGCTTTGGCCCCACTCCATGACCCTGAGTGGCTGAGGAATCCCCTGAGCTCAGTGGCGTGAGGTGAAGGCACAAAACACAAACCCCATCCAGTTGAGCAACATGGGCACATTGCTTGGAACCTGACAGTGAACCTCCCAGCACCTCAGTCAGCTGCAGACCTTCAAGTAGGTCATTCAGAGCCTGGTTGGGCCCTGCCCAGTGACTCTGAGTGGCAGATGAATCACCTGAACTCAGTGATGTGATCTGAAGTCATGTATACAGAACTCCATTCAGCTGTGCAATCTACCCACATTGCTTGGAATCTGGTAAGACCCCCACCCAATACCTCAATCAGCTGTTGATCTTCAGGTAAGTTGCTCAGGGCCTAGTTGGGCCATTGCCAGTGATCCTGACTGGTTGTAGAATTGGTAGCATGAGCTTAAAACTCATACAAAGAACCCCATTCAGCTTGACAACATTGCAACTCACTTAAAACCTGTTAAGGCCCTGCCCAGTAAACCCAAGCAGCTGCACAACATTGATGTGCCATGTTGCATGAGATGAAGGCCTGCATAGCATAATCCATCTAGCTGTTCAGACTTGGAACACCACTCAAAACTTGGTAGAGTTCCACCCAGAAAAATCAAGCAGCAGGGAAGCTTCACATATCACATTAGATGTGTTGAAGAGCCACCCACCCAAGGTACTCCTCACATTTGGGGAGATTAGACTTCCATTAGGGATATGGTAAGGCCTGAATAATGACCTATGCTCAACTGGAGAAATTCTCTCCAGCACAGATAGATATCCTCAACCCAGAAAGCAACTATAAATTTGCATTCAGCTTCACCAGGGGAATACAGGAAAATGAAAAGACAAAAGAGCAAAATGCAATCTCAAACTTCCAGCCCATTCAAAACAAGCCTAGGAGACATAGACATAGAAGAAAATATAAGTCATACACCTGAAACTTCTGAAATGACACCAACCAAAGTAAAGAAACAACTCCATGAAGCTGTAGGAAACCCAGATCAGAAATAATTTCCCAGGTAAAAGAAACAATGATAAATGTAGTAGAAGAAATGCTGAACACATCTAAAGAAGACATAGTTTTAAAAAATGAGGAGCACTTCAAAAAGGTGGAAACCTTGAATGAAAAATATAAGAATCAAACAGAATGCATGAAGCAGATGGAAGAGATAACTAGGAAATCAAATATTCCATTGAAAATTGGCAAAACCAACTCAGTGAAAGTGTTGAAAGACTTTCAGTCCTTGAAGACCAGATTGCAGCTATAGAATAAGAAAGAAAAATTCTTTTTAAAATAAGAAATCAGCAAATATCAATTCAACAGCTTCAAGATGATGCAAAGAAAAACAATATGATTGATAGTGTAAACAAAAGAAGTGACAACACGAATGATATCAAAAGACTATTTACAGACGTAATAAGCAATAATTTTGCAAACATGTGAAAGGAAACTGATATACATATAAGTGAAGCATATAAAAGTCCAATTAGCCATAACCAAAATAAAACTATGCCCAGACATATAATAATCAACATTCCAGGTATTCAAAATAAGAGCAGAATATTAGAAGCTGTTAGAGAGAAGTCAGATTACCCATAAAGGAAAGACCATCAGAATCACAGCTTTCCCAACAAAAACAATGAAGTTAAGAAAAGCATTGAGTTGAGCATTTCAAATACTAAAGTAAAACAACTTCCAACTGAGATTGATGTACCCTGAAAAACTGTACTTCAAAACTGATGGAGAAATACAATATTTCTGTGACAAAGAACAGCTGAAGAACTTCATGACCACCTAACCCTGCAAAGAATAATGAAAGATATTTTAGATAGACTTAAATATAACTATGATTTCAAGAACACAAACAGAGGGGCTGGGGATTTAGCTCAGCGGCATAAGCACTTGCCTTGCAAGCAGACAGTCATGAGTTCGATCCCTGGTACCAATAAAAATGAAAAAGACAAAAAAAAAAAAACACAAACAGAAAAATAGCACTAAGCAAGTCAAACAATTAAACAAAGGGGAAATGTAAAGAGCTAACAGAAGACAGTTAACATAAAAAGACAATATACATTTTTATAACCATTAATGTAAATGACTTCAATTCACCAATTAAAAAGATCAGGCTGTCACCATCAAAAGGATCATGCATCAAGAAATAACATGTGATCATATGCTGAATACAAGAAACCCATCTAAATCCAAAAGGAAATTCACAGACTGAAAGTCAAAGGATGGATAAAAATACTTCATGCAATAATAACCCAAAGAAAAGCAGGGATACCTTCTGTTTGCAGAAAATGTGAACTTCAAACTAAAAATGATCAAAAGGGATAAAGAAGGTCACTGCATACTAAAGGAAAACTTCAAGAGGAAGAGATAGCAAACTTAAATATGTACGGCTCAAATATGAGCTTTTCTTTGTTGGTAATGTTTTAATTACATTTTCAATTTCACTAACAGAAATTGGGTTATTCAGAAGTTTTACAACTTCTTGATCCAGCTTTTGTAATTTATATAATTCTAGGAATCTGTCCATTTCTTCTGTGTTATCGAACCTTTGAGAGTAGAAGTTTTTGAAATAGGTGTTGATGATCTCCTGTATTTCCACAGGCTCTGTAGTGATTTTGCCTTTTTCATTCCTATTACATGAATTTGAGTTTTTTCTTTCCATTTTAAAATAAGGTTGTCTAGGGACTTATCAATTTTATTTATTCTTTCAAAGAGCCTTGATTCCTTGATTCTTTGTATTGTTATCTTTGTCTCTATTGCATTGATACCTCCTTTGGTTGTATAATTTCCTCCTTTCTTTTGGCTTTGGGATTTACTTGCTGTTCATGTGTTAGGTGTACATCATATTGTTTATTTGTGTTTGTTCTTTTTTCCTGGTGTGGGAATTCAGCACAATAAATTTTCCTCTGAGGACTGCTCTTATTGCATGCCACAAGTTCCATTAGGTTATATTTGTATTTTCATTTGCTTGAAGATACTAATTTCTTTTCCTATTTCCTCTGTGACCCACTGATTGCTCAGTACCATATTATTCAGTTTCCATGTGCTTTGAGGGATTTCGAAGCTTCTTTTGTCACTGATTTCTATTTTCATGGCAACACGATCTGATAACATACATGGGAAAATTTCAATTATTTGCATTTACTGAAGCGTGTTCTGTGGGCTAGCATATGGTCTATTTTAGAGAATGTCTGATGTGCTGCTGAGAAGAATGTAAATTCTAGTGTTGTTGGGTGAAACTCTCTGTATATCTCCCCTAAGTCCATTTGTTCATATGTGTGATGAAATTTTGTTACTTATTTATTTTCTATCTAGTTAATATGTCTATTTTGTCAATGATGTGTTAAGTTCTCCTGTTATATTTGTATTATTGCTTATTTGAGTTTTCATTTCTGTTAATATTTGTTTTGTATAGCTGGTTGCTCCTGAATTTTTTGCATAGATATTTAAGATTGATTTCTCTTCCTCTTGAAGTTTTCCTGTAACTAGTGTGTAGTGACCTTCTCTATCTCTTTTGATCATTCTAGGTTTGAAATTCATAGTGTTTGCAAACAGAATAGCTACTCTGCTTTTCTTTTGCTTTCTGTTGCATGAAGTATTGTTTTCCATCCTTTGACTCTCGGTCTATGAGCTTCTTTTTCAGTTAGATGGGTTTCCTTATACAGCATATGGTTGGATGCTTTTTCTTGGTCCAGTCTGTTTCATTTCATTGGTGAGTTTAGGTCATTTACATTAATGGGTATAACTGATACATATTGATTGATTTTTGCCCTGTTTTCTTTAGGCTGTTGATTCTTTACCTTTCTCCTCTGTTTAATTCTTTGTCTTACTTAGTGGCTTTTTCCTATCTATCTAGAATGACTTTCAGTATTAATTGCAGGTTTGGTTTGGTGGTCATGAAGTTCTTCAGCTGTTCTTTGTCATGAAAATGTCTTATTTTTCCATCAAATTTTAGGACAATTTTTCAGGGTACATCAATCTGGGTTGGAAGTGTTTTTCGTTTAGGATATGTAATACTTCATTCCATGCTCTTCTTGACTTCATTGTTTATGTTGAGAAGTCTGCTGTAATTCTGATAGGCTTTCCTTTATAGGTGATCACTCTCTTCTCTCTAGTAGCATTTAATATTCTGTTCTTATGTTGGATTTCTGTGATGTTTATTATCATATGTCTAGTTGTAGTTTTATTTTGGTTGTGGCTATTTGAAGTTCTATATGCTTCACTTGTTTGTATCTGTTTCCATTCTCATGTTTAGGAAATTTTTAGCTATTACTTCTATAAATAGCCTCTTGATATCATTTCTGTTGTCACATTCTCTTTCATTTATACCTATTAATCTTATGTTGTTTTTCTTTGCATCATTTTGAAGTTATTCAATTGTCACTTCCTGATGCCTTGTTATTTTAAAAAGATCTTTCCTATCATGTTCACTAGCTGCAATCTTGTCTTCTAGGTCTAAAATTCTATCTTCACTTTTGTTGAGGCAGTTTTGCCAACTTTTGATGGAAATTTTTGATTTCCTGCATATCTCTTTGAATCTGTTTCATGCATTCTGTTTGTTTGTTATATTGTTCATTCAATGTTTACATCTTTCTACAGTGTTCCTCTAAATTTTTAAACTATGTCTTTAGATGTATTCACAATTTCTTTTATTACATTTATCATTTCTTCTTTTACGTGGGGGATTATTTCTTATCTGAGTTCTTTTATAGCTTCCTGGGGTTGTTTCTTTATTTTATTTGCTATCATTTCAGAAGTTTCAACTATATGGCTTACATTTCCTTCTATG